AGGTTTCCCACGCGCTCGTTTGTCCTCACCTGTGAAGTAGACAGGGAGGAGTAGACGGCTCCAAGAGCAGGGGCGACCTTTTGCTGCATCGCCATCTGCACCAGTTCCATGCACTGTCCGACTGTGGCCGGGGCGTTGAGGTCTACCCCCTGTGCTAGCGGCACTGCGAAGCACTGTGGCTGCAGTTGGGTCGGGATGAGCACTGCAGCCGAAGACTGTGGGGCATCCATGCGTGCTTCCAACTGCGACATGCGTTCTGTGAGATCCTGGTGCTGCTCTTCACGCCGTGCTCCTTGCAGCTTCACTTGTTCTAGCTGAGCAGCTACTTCTGCCAGCAAAGCAGACATTTTGTCCAGCTGGTCTCCCTGGCTCGTCATGGCTTCAAGGAGAGAAGAGGGAGGGACCTGTGAAGCTTGAACCGCTCGTGAGCTTGAGCCAAAATGGCTACGGTGAAATTTAGAAAGCAGAACTTACAAAAGATCTTGCGCTCGGTATTGCTGCTGTCCGGCCTTGTGCCATCGGAGTACATCTTGACAGCTTTCTCCATTTCCGGGCATTCCGGAGCCTTATGCTGGTCCGTGGCTTTGCAATAGAAACAGTGCATGTACTTGGTCTTCTTGAACGACTCTTCTCTTGGATCCTGAAGCCAAATCGGGTTCACCCCTTTTCTTGGTGGCGTGCCTTCTGGCTCGCTTGGCTTCTCCTTGCTGTGATCCAACTTTGCCTTCCCTGCCTTTTCTATCGCTTCATCAGTTGCTTCTTTGAACGATGATCTCAGCTTGCTCTTCAAAGCTAACTGCTTCTCCAAAGTATTCGCTGCCTTTCTTTCTTTCTTCATCCGTAATCTTGAGGAACTGAGGTACCTTCTTTGGCATTGGCTTTGCCTTTGCTGCTGGCGTTGCTGGGCTGCTTGCCTCGCTTTTTCTCTTGATCGTCGCCATAAGCTTTGCTAAGGCTTGTCGCTCCTTTTCTTGATCTGGCTCTGGCCTTGTGTACAGATCTAGGCTTTTGGACTCTTCGCTTAGAGCTGACAGTAGCTTGTCTGCCGTCTGCACCACTTCGCCTAGCTTCTGTAAAGCACTTCTCACATTGCTTGTCTTCTCAACATCTCCTCTTGCTGCGACTGCTTCCTCCTCGAGCTCTCGCACTTTCTTCATCTTTGCTTCGAGCTTTTCTTTCATCTCCTTCTTGAGTTCTTGCTCGTATTGATCCATCTCTTCTCTGGCTTGCTTGTAAGCTTCTCAGCCTTCCTCTCGTCTTCTGTCAACGTGGACATACTCTCCATATATTCTTGCATGTCGTCTTCCACTTTTGCTAAAAACTCTGCGGTCCTTAAGCCGTACCCCGATGGGAGTCTTGAGACAGGGCGTCTCATCTGCTCTTGCCATGTCAAGAATTCCTTTTCTAGGTTCGTTGTTGAAAATGTTTTGAATCCTCAAAGACGCCTGCGGAGTACAGCGCAATCACAATGTGAAACACATGAGTGCATGAAATACGATAAAGCAAATCATGATAAATTGCGTGGGGTTTCCTAGGAGGCAAAATAATAAACACCCCGCCTACGAAGCTTCATTGAGCTCGCGGGTTGAAGTCTTCGGCATAATCAAGTTTGCCTCACCCCTTTCAGAACAACAGCTTGCTTAGTTCAGGATCGCACTCGACCTACAGACGACTTTTCATGAGCACTGCCTCAAAAGGTCATTGGCTCAATACTATGCTCAACTACGTAGAACTGTACATCTACGACTAGGTTACACCGTCTCTGAGGGCGTGCATCGCCCACGAGACGATAGCTTGACTCACCCAAGCGTAGGCGGTTCAAGTGGGCTCCATGCAGCTCTGGGCTGCCCCACCACGACAAAGCATGATTCCTAAGGAATCAGCACACAGTATGGGGATGCCTAATTGCATCGAGTGGCTCGTGAGCCTACTCCTGTGGACTCGCAGCTGCTCCACAGCTGCCAAAGTGGTTGGTAAGTGAATCAAGATTGACAGCAAAATGCTGTTTCCAAAGTCCTGTCAGTTTCTGCTCAAACACAAGACTATGTACAATCGTCGTTGCCACAGCAGCCTCTGTACAAGAATCCAACCGATCAGTGCACTGCTCGAAGCAGCGCACTCAAGGATTGGCGCATCAGGAGCATTATACCAAGTCAGCCACCGTAACACAATTTGCATGGCCTAAAGCCTCGGCGCACTGCATCTCCACGTGTAAGGCGCTCAAGTGCTTTAGCACACTTCAAGTTGCCGCAACTTCGGCGACCATGGTATGCATAACCACGTGACTTGGTCACCCATACGATCTGCTGATCAAGCTCATCTCTGATGCGCTGCTCAAGTACATGTGTATGTGCGACTGCTGGGTTCGGTGCTTTCGGCTGCACCGCAGGTCCATTGGATGATCTTGCATCGGGGTCGGGAACATCATGGTCATCAGCAGCTCGGCTGCTGCTGCTGGCGGCTCGGGCGCCGCTCTGCTCAAGCACACTTGCACTAGAAGGTCCGGCACTACTCTTAGGGCTGGCCAAGGTGCAAGGATTAGGGCTTTCGGCAGGTTGCGGGGCTACCCTATCAACCGAAACCTTGGTTCCTTCGACCGTTACATTAACGCATACACTCGGCGTCACCTGCGGCGCGTTGTGCTCGTTGCACGATGCTGCTGCCTCATTCGCCTTCTCTTGCAACCTTTCTGGCCTGCTTCCGCGGCACAAGAAGATACCACACAGCACTGCAATGATAACGCATTGGCTCAAAATGAAACTCATCATGGGATGCTCTGCAAGGAAATCAGCAATCAAGAAAATCGCATACAGCAACTGTTCAAGAAAATTCCAAAACATCTCCCCGTAACCATGCTCGCCAGTCCCCTGGCTCAAGGCGTCATCGTCATGCGTATTGGGCTCATCATCGGCACTGGCGACAGAATCTGCTTGCAAAGCCAATGCAAGGATCTGAAGCACAAGCTGTGGGTTGACTGCTCCTCGCTTCACAACACGACTCACATGATGTCGCGTCCTGTGATCAAGCAAGTGGGCGTTCCCAACCAAGGCATAGCCGCAGTCCTTGTCACGAACATTCAACCGTGCAAGGATGAACTCAACTCTCTCCGGCTTTAGCGGCTTCGTGGGAAGGTCACCAACATTCTCTGCGGTTCCAACCGGTGAAATGTCCAGCATCTTTTCCTGAGTCATCTGCTGAAGCCATAACAGCTTTCCGTCGATGTGGCGAGTCCGTCCGACTCCTTGGCGATTCCCAAGCGACCTAGCTGCTGCATTGTCACACAAGCATGTTAGCGAAATATGCAGTTCCGGGCACAAGTGTATGACGCAATTCTTAAGGAGGATGGCAGTTGCCGCACCAGCAACCAGGGAGTTGTACTCAGCCTCGCACGAAGAAAGACTGATCACTTTCTGTGTTTGGCTGCTCGAGTGGAGCAGCTGCCCGTCCCAAAGAATGCAACATGCAGATACCGACTTGCGAGTCTTCTTATCCCCCGACCAGTCACTGTCTGAGAACATTTCGAGGGTAGAAGTTTTCTGCTCAGACACACGATTGCAGATCAGTCCTTGCCCAAGCTGAGGTTTTGCCAAACCCAGCACATGTGACTTATGGCAATTCACATAGGCAGTCAGATGCCTCAGTAGCTTCCAGCAGCCTTCGGTTGGCTTGTGAGCATGTGTGGACAAGAACCGAATCCCAAATTGACACGCCAACAGGTCAGAAGCAAGGTACATTAGGATACCAAGTGCTGAGCGATACTTTGATGCTGACTCTGCGTTCAGCTCACGGTCCGATGCAAGGTCTGTAGGCAGGCCTCCAGTCGGGAACGGGGCCGCCTTGTACCGCTCCTTGGCACCATCTAGTCCAGTGATCTTCAAGAGTTTCTCAAGATATTTGATATCAGGCTCAACAACCAGCAAATTGGGGCTGACTAGGATCAGTCGCCGCTTCAAGAAGGAAACCTCGTCGCCTACTTGGCGGATCCATTCACTGGACACCTTGAACTTTGACTTCTTTAAAATCGGCGATGTTTGATAGAGGCACTTACTGACGACACTGCACAGAGTATTCTCGCGGTGAAGTACACAATAAGGATATCTAAAAACTTCGCAATCCGATATATTCAAATGAATCCAACTCGATATGTATGTGATTCAATAAAAGGAGTCGAGCTCGAGGCTCAATGGTATTCCCGGACAAATAAGAAGTCGGCAGCAGAGAAGGTCGCGCACTCTTCATTTTTCTCTTCAGCGATCAGGGGTTTGAACGAATTCTAATTCGGGAACCATAGCATCCGGGCCTCAGCCGATGCGAGGAGCACGGGCCAGAAGCCGCTCAGAGTTTGTCCCGAACACACCCCCCCCCACAAATGTCTGGGCTGGGCGGGCGGGGAAAAGTTTTAAAAGCTCAGCTCGAGAAGTCACTTCGTCACAAACAAGAGCGTCATCAGAGATGCACACAAGGATGGACATGCGACTGAAAATCTGTAAAGCATGTCAAATACTTCTCTTAAAAAATCCACCCAAAAAGGGGTGGGATGAAATAAGTCTCATGAAGTACCGTTGTCAATGTCAAACACGGCCTGCGGCCTGTCACCGATTTCAAAGAAAGAAAAGTCTGCAGGCAGAAAAGTTTCTTCTTTAAAATCGGCGATGTTTGATAGAGGCACTTACTGACGACACTGCACAGAGTATTCTCGCGGTGAAGTACACAATAAGGATATCTAAAAACTTCGCAATCCGATATATTCAAATGAATCCAACTCGATATGTATGTGACTCAATAAAAGGAGTCGAGCTCGAGGCTCAATGGTATTCCCGGACAAATAAGAAGTCGGCAGCAGAGAAGGTCGCGCACTCTTCATTTTTCTCTTCAGCGATCAGGGGTTTGAACGAATTCTAATTCGGGAACCATAGCATCCGGGCCTCAGCCGATGCGAGGAGCACGGGCCAGAAGCCGCTCAGAGTTTGTCCCGAACACACCCCCTCGGATCGACGAACTCAGAGCAGGTAGGCATCAATCAAAGATTGGTCAACAAGGTAAGGCTCAACATCTGTCGCACGAACGACTTTCTGCGCTTTCCAGCCTTCGCCCCTGGAGGGCCAATCTGCGATGTTCGATGAGGATGGCACCCTCTCTATCCAAGAAATGCAAGGGGCGACGGCATCGACCATAGACAAAGCCAGGGCCAAACGATGCATCGCGTCACTTCTGCTTTGACCACGCAACACCACAGATCTAGCAGCATCGTTGTCAATGAAGAAAATGATTCTCTTTCCTGAAAGAAAATTCTGAAGGCCGGCCCTGATCATCAGGAGGGCATAAAGCTCCACCTCACAGATGATTTGCTCCCCGACCTCCTCACGCCAGCGAACCACAAGGCGCTCGGGAACTTGCCCTTGAAAGACTCTGGAAACGCCGCTGCTCGCATCGAGAATCACTGCACCGATCCCGGCGAAGGCTTTGGCAGGCTCCCAAGCTCCATCAGTCCATACCAGGATGGGAGGCTCGCCGGTCGAATCGCAACTTATGAAGCGGGGCGGTGTACTCACAAGAATCTTGATCGTGTGCCTGCACATCTCGCTGAAGGCCTGTCTCCAGCCAGGAAACCAGATAGCCATTTGCACGAGTGCTTGAGGGCACGACCGGCAAAGAAACCCGATGAAAAGTTGAGCAAGCCCAGCAAAATCTGTGCCTGGTGAATCGTGAGGAAACCCGAAGCAGCCACGGATTCAAGCTTCTCCACGATCCGATCGATCCTGCCAGGTTTGTTCGACAGGACGATGCTTCTCTCCGACATGTTGCTCAAGTCGATCTGCATTCCCAAAACGGAGAAGACCTCCGCAAAGGGATGTGATTTGCTGCCTGTCTTGGCGTGGCTCCAGCCGAGAAGATCTAAGAATTCGCTGATGATGCCGTCAGTGTCGCTAGAGGCGAGCGATGTCGAAAACATCGGGAAGTCGTCAAAGTACACTGAGCTAGGAAGCTTGAATATCTTCAGCAGCAGTTTGTGAAGGCTTCTGCTCGTGCGCACGAACCCGTACACCGAAGCAGTGAGACCGAAGAGCAGCGAGTTTGCAATGAAGAATTGATCCTCGCCAGCCGGGCCCTTGTGGTAGATCACAGCCAGAGAGCGATGCTCTTTCTTCATAGGCATCTGCTTGTACGCCTTAGATAAATCAAGGCACTTGCCCAGCCACGATCGAGGGGGCTCGCCTGTAGCGCGAGATCTCTCGGCCTCTTCAACGGCGATCCTTGTTGCTAGAGCTGCAACAAAGTCGGAACTCTGGAGCTCCAACTTTATGGTGGCCGTGAAGCAATTGTTGATCAAAGCCTCGTGCCCGTCATCAATGGGTCTAGGTTTGTTCTCGGCTCCTTGAAGGATCAGGAATCTTCGTATGCAGTTCCAATCTTCCGAATGGAATAAGCCAGACACTTGACTTTCGGTGTAATTGAGGGCCTTCCAGAAAACCAAGATCGACTTCGTCCATCGTAGCCTTTGACAGCAAATCCTGAAGGTCGGCTGCTTGCATGCCACTGGATCCAGTCAAGACCCTTCGGCGGAATGATGCAGTGCTTTTGAGGTCCTGTTCCGACATGGTCGCCGGCACAATCTTTTTGCTGAAAGGCGGAGGGCAGGCTGACTGCCCGGCAATCGGGACGCCTGACATCATGAAATCGCAGACTTGCATGTCATCGAAACCGTTCTGTTCAAGAAGGTGCTTCCACAAAAGAAGACGCTTTCCCGCAACAACCTTTTCGAACCAAGGGTCGAAAGAAGAATGCAATCGAGCCTCGTCGGCCTCAAACTTTTTGGCAAGGATTTTTATCTTCATAAGTTGAAGCTTACGATGATCTACCACCTCTTTCTCTGTGTTTTTCATGCAGAAGCTGATGGCATCAAGCTGATCCTGATCAAGGGCTACGGCAGTGTCGACGGGATGCTTTAAGGTCAAGGCCTTTGCCACGTGATCCTGCATCGACAAGTACCACCCCACCTTAACCGAACCCTGGGGCAGGTCGGAACCGTTAGGGAAACCAAAGGAGTGAACCTTGCTGGAAACCTTATTCGCGACTCTGGGGAGCTTAGCAGGAGGGTTCAACTCCTTGTCGCCAGTAACCCGTCCTTCAAACACAGCTGCATTGTCGGCTGCATTGCTGTCCTCGGCTGCATTCTCTCTCCCGCCATCCTCCCCAGCACTCTGAGAGAGAAGGATGCGACAGGAGTCGTCAGGTTGGAAAGAGGGCGGTTCCCAAGAGACCTTGCGAAACTCAGGAATCAAGGGAGGGAATCGGCGGTGCTGCCGACCAAGAACTGCAACAGAGCTGGCTGCCAAGTCAGGAGATGCCTGCAAAGATAGACCCAGGAACGAAGCCGCGCTCTCCAGACAGGAGGCCATGCGTTTGCAGAGCAGAACGGGGTATGCCGACACCAGAGAAGACGACAACTGCATAGAACGCTCATGGAACACAAGGCCCCACGGGCGATGCACGTGATTGCCTGGACAAGTAGCTCGAAGCGAGTGGAACAAGCCTCGAGTGCACAAGAAGCGAGTGGACTTGGGTCGATCGGAACCATGACAACACTGGTCGAAATCAACGTACTCCAAGGCGGCCGGCGGCCAAAGCAAACCCTCGGCCTCAGCAAAGCATTCAAGAACCTTCCAGAAAAGCGAATTCCGAGGATTCTCAACACTGACATTGATGCCTGAAGCGGAACAATGCAGCAGAAGCTTGTAAACGAAACGGTACAGCACATTGTCCTTGCGCACTGCAAGGCTCTGCTGAGACGCGGCACTCAGCGACGGCAGGCCTAAAGGGAAGTCATCGGAACGCAAAGGTTTAGGGGCCTTAGAGGCAAGGGCATGATTCCTTGGCAGGGGACGCTCACGAGAGCGAGAAGCCGTGCCCGCAGGGGGCGATGCATGCACGTGAAAAGGAGGGCACTCCTTAATGAGATCCCAAAAGATTGCCTGGGCTGAATCTAAGGTCAGATCAAGCTTGGCTACAGGAGAGACTGCTCTATAGCAAGAACTGTCTAACCCCAAAACCCGAAAACCCAAATCCTTGCAAGCCTTGCTGAAACGTGCACTGCCAGCGAAAAGCTCGTAAACCCACGAGTCTGATTTCACAGGCGGCTGTTCCTGGGCAGTCACAGGAATGGGAAAGGCTAGATCAGGCGGGGGCCTAAACCCGAGATTAAGCAGGGTCCTTGCTGACTCAGTTGAAATTTTCTCAAGGCTCGCGGCAGTGAAGGCCACACAAACCAAGCGATCGCCAACCCAGCTTTCGGTCTCGTGAGGGTATTTAAAGGCATCGAAAGTGACCGGGGTCTCGAGGCTAAGGATTGAGCCTTTTACTATGTCACCTTTGATTGACCGTGTGTGAGGTCCGCATCCATCAGCGATCCAGATGCCACCTCCCTGAAAAGATGTCACGGGTATGACCCCGTTGGGGGTAGGATGGTTCCTCGAATCGACATGCAAATCGGTTTTGGTGTTGTGAAACAGACTGATTGTAGTGAAGAAATGATCAGGCATGAAAGCGCGAACAAAAGTAGTGAAGAGCTTGACGCAGAATGGAAACAGAGCACATTCACTCCGAAGACCCTGCAATCCACCTTTTGCATATGCCCCACAACTGAAGCTGCTCGGAGGATGCGAGGAGGCTCCTCTAGAAGGAATCTCCTTGGGCAAAAGATCAAAAATCTGAACAACATCTTGCTTTGTAATCCCTGACCCTCTGGCCAAAATGGCCTGTGCGAGGACCTCAGCATCGCTAGGGGCAGAATCCGAAGTGGCCACGAGGTCAGGCCCCTGGGGCCTCGCATGGCCCCATCACTGTACCTGATTTGTGCATTCAGTAAAGGGGTGATCCCCAAAACAACGCCAACACTGGTGGAAGCCTCGCGGGCATCTTCCTTTCGTCACCTTGAGCCTGCATGTACCCAAGTTAAACCCAAAACAATTCGGCTTGCCCTGAGGATCTTTGGCTGCACAGCCATCCGGAATGGTCACACGGGATGCCTTGCCTCCGCCCTTTTCACCGCCCTTGTTGGGCGTCTTCCCCTTCCCGTCACCTTTGGTTGGCGTGGTAAGCTCCTTGAAAGGGCGCTTCGTTGGATGAGGGGCAGGAGGAGGAGCTACAAGCGGCTGAAGAAACTGATTTATCTCCTGGCTTCCCGATAGATCGCGCAAGGCAGCATCCATGGGTTTTTCAACACCTATGGGTTTCTGCAATTGTCCCTCAAGCATGTCGGCCAACCGAACAAAAAGCTCGCGATCTGCCGTAACAACTTGTCCCAAGCTAACTGCCACATATCCCTTTGGCACGGTGCGTTGAACTGCTTCGAAGAGCTTGTTGATCCAAGTTTCCATAGCTTCAAAGCTACACAAGTGACCCAGATCAAAGGCTAGCGACCGTCTCTGAAAGGCCTGCCGGAGAGGGTACATGCCTGTGGTGTCGCACGTCGGCTCCGGCTTTTTCTGGATCACCTTTAGGTTGCCCTCGTTGTCCATCTGAACGGCAGAATCCTTCTTCTGGAGAGACATCTCTTGGAAGCGGGATATCCATCTGTTAATCGGAATGTACTTGAGTGTGTTATTCTCGTACATGTCGGTCACAAGGTCGATGCAGCTATGGGCAGGGGTTGTATGAGAAGTTAGGATGAGACCCGACAGCCTACGATGCTGCGCCTCAATCCGCTCCTTTCGTTCGGCCTGGGGCAGGCGGCGCACGGAACCTTCTGGAGTCCCTTCGACCCTAGACTTGAGGTCCGCCACATTGAGTGATTGCGATTCAAACAGCAACCTACGGATCACTGAAACCTGAAAGGAACCAGGAGCCGGGGTGACTACAGTGGCTAGCCATGAGTCGACAGCTTCATCTGTCAGACCTTGCGGTGTAGACGATGCGGCGAAAGCCAGCTTTCCGAATGTGTTGTAACCGGCTTCAATCAACTTACCTAGAAGATCGTTGCTGAGGCCTATTTTACTGCATCTTTCCCGGAACGACGCTTCACTGTCCAATATGACAGAGGACATGGCTCAGCCTGCAGGCTACTCGGACTCGGCCGTTGACACAGTGTTGAAGCAGAATGCTTCGGTCACTGTCTGAGCCAACGGGCGCCGGATCCACGCTTTGACATGTTGCCAAGCTGCTGCACAGCTGACCATGACATCGTGATTTCAGCAACGACACTTTAAGCATGTTCGCCAAACTTCCAGCACCACGGGCCATAGGCCGGTGCATGATGCATGGATGTGTTTCACAGTCCTACATCAGATCTAGCCCGCGCCATTCCAAGAGAAAGGGTCTGGGTTTTCGGCATGCCCCGGGCTCGGAAAGCCGGCATCCGCAGTCTGTCACCTCGGGTCATAGACCGGTGCCATGTGTATTCTCCGGAGCCACGATATACAGCCCCAACAGTTCACATCAACGTCGAATGAAACTCACTCCTGAATGGGGAAAGCGGGTCCCACGGATCCGAAGGATCGGGACGTCTTTTCGCTTTGGCATTGTCTGAGCTCGCCACGGGCCAAAAGCCGGCGATGCAAAAGAACTGCAGTGGTACATCCCACCACCGAGCTCGGCCGATTTTTCTTTCGAGATTATCTGTTCAATCAGCGCCCGACATCGCCCGCCTGCACTGATGGCAGGTGTCCGGATCATCGGCATCGTCTTCCTCGAAATCCCTGTATCTGTCCGTGAGGGGACGCCCACAAAAGAAAGTGCCCTCGTCCCTAAGTCGATGAACGATGCCAGACAGGCTATGCACACGGAGCTCCGCCATAGTGCACTCGAAAGGTGGCCTAAGCTCAAGACCGGAACGCGGCATCGGCTCATACCCCACGATGGACTCAGCAGACTCAGAAGACTCCACATCGGCGGCACCCACATGTTGATCTTCAGGAGGAGCGGGAGCCTGTGCAGCAGTCGTGTCGCCGGCGAGCGCCGATGCCACCGCAGCGACTCTGTCCGTGACCTCGGCATCCGGGTCGAACTGGTTCTGGCGGATGGTCCTGAACATTGCCAGGATTTTGCCCGACAAGTTGATGTAGAACTGTCGACTATAAATCAAAGTCGAAGAAGGGCCGCCCTTCCTGAGGTGATGTCCCATCAACAACCTCTCCTTGGGGGTAAAAGAAATTATAGGAGACCATCCACTCCACGTAATCAAGGTAGTCTTGAAGCTGTGGGTCCCTATCGACTCCTCAGGTCCAGGGGCCATGTCCAGTGATGTTAGGACGTCGATCAAGATGTCGCTGGCCTCCTCTGAGGACATTCGCTCCTGGCCCCAGCATCCCCACTTCTGCGACCAGGAAGGCAAGCACCCTCTGTCAAACTGGATGCCTTCTCTCTCACGTGCCTCCAACCAGAGCTGCGCCCACGGCGTGTTGCTCACCCCAGTTGAGACGCATACGTACGGCAGCAGGCGCGTCTTGGCCTCCACTGTGGTAGACGTCTTCGATCCAAGGGCCTCCGCAATTAGCAATTGGCCTTCTCCCTCAGAGGTGAGAGTCAAGGACAGAACGTTCTGAGAATCGCTCCAACGACAAGATGTGTGTACACAAAAGAGAAATTGCCCGACTACACATCGGGTCCAATCAGAGCATCTCTCCATCAGAAGCTCCAATGCCTCCACTCGTCGACGACTGAGAGAATCCCTCTGTCTCAGAGGAGCCTTCTTGAGCTTCAAGTCCTGTGCGACGCCACGCACCCTCGAAGATAAGATGGCCTCCAAGTCCATATACTTGAAACGGGCAATGGCATGAAAGAACCTCAAAGCTTCCAGGATATGAGAAGCCGTAGAAGCTTTAGCACCATGCTCCCGAAATCCTGAAAAGATCGCGTAGACTTGAGCCTCGTTAAGCCGCCATGGTGAATCCAGCGAAGCATCATAGGACCTCACCACAAACACTTGCAGCGATAGGGATCTCTTCTGCAAAGTCAAGGACGCCTTTCCTCGGAAAGCGTCTGCCAGGCTCTGCATTATGACTTGCTCATCCTCCATGGCTTTTCCTTGATCAACCAGGCTGCTGCCCAAGGCTGTGGCCTCGGGGTCAATCAAGATCAGCATCTTGAACCTCCTCAAAGAAGAATCCCTTATGTCCGCATCAGATTTCGGCAGCCTTGCTTTGGCCAACCTTCTGGTCACCGTCCAAGGGATGTGGGCAAAAATATCAGGTTCAGGATCCCTCTCCTTTGTCATAGACAGAGTTTCGCTCACCCCAACAGAAGTCGAAAGTCTCAAGAAAAATTCCGAGCATTGCTCAAGATGTGAAGGCTTTGACTCCCAGGGCTGACGTGGCAACTCAAACCTCCTTCTCTTGTGAACTGCTGCAGCCACCATTTGAGAAGCGTCCAGCTCAGCCATAGGTCCCTCAAGCCATGACAGCTTATTGGATTGCGGTCCTGGCAGATGTGGCGGAGCAGCAGAAGAGGAAGCAGATATCTCTTCTTCCACGCACTCAAAGCTTCCCAGTTCATTGTCTTGAACCTGAGAATACCACTCTCTCTCATCCGCAGAAAAATCCAAATTCTCGCCTTCAGCATACTTTGCGCATCCCTCAAAACTCAAGATGTCCGACTGCTGGACCTCTGCTAGGTCATCCCGAAGCAGCCCCTCAAGGTGTTCTTCGAATGGGTCCCCGGCTGCGGCAGGTCCATCCTGTATCAGCCCCCACACGTTGTAAGGAGCTTCTGCCGAATCACCCCCTTCCATATCAGAAGCTTCGAAAGGCAACTGACGGTCCATTGTTTAAGGCTGAGCACAGAAGCAGCAGACGCGAAGGCTCCAGCTCACACGAAGGAAATAAAAGCGATCGGCTGGAGACATGTGGATCCAAACAAGCTGCACAACATCGGAATGTTCGGCGCAGTGTAAAAAGCGGCCAAAAAGCGGCACGGCCTTCCATGGCTGGACCCACCGAAAAGTTTTAAAAGCTCAGCTCGAGAAGTCACTTCGTCACAAACAAGAGCGTCATCAGAGATGCACACAAGGATGGACATGCGACTGAAAATCTGTAAAGCATGTCAAATACTTCTCTTAAAAAATCCACCCAAAAAGGGGTGGGATGAAATAAGTCTCATGAAGTACCGTTGTCAATGTCAAACACGGCCTGCGGCCTGTCACCGATTTCAAAGAAAGAAAAGTCTGCAGGCAGAAAAGTTTCTTCAAGTGATTCTCAAGCTCCTGAAGGCGTGCGGTCCATCCTGCCGCAAGCATGTCGTCTACATGCAGCATTCCACCTCCTTGGCACATGTGGTTGCCTTCCGCATGTGGGATGCGAAACAACACTGGCTGCTCTGCCAATGGCTCAGCAGCAACAGCTGCGCGGATTTCACACATAAAATCTTGAAACCAGGTAGCAGATCCGTCCCGTTGCCCAGGCAGCATCCGGAAAAGTTTATACCATTTTCCATCAACTTTTGTCAAGGTATCATGCTGTTGCTTGCACTGCAAGAAAGCGTCAGACACATCAAGACTCAGTAGGGACCAACCGTCCCCAAAGTTGCGAATGAAAAGCGATGGAACGATTCTCAGCATGCACTGGGTCGTCGTCGGTGCAAACAAGTGTTGCCTGCCCGGATCTAGATGCGCAAACTCGCGCGCCACCAACCTGGCTCTGCGCAACCAAACGCGCTCCTGATTGATCACTTTAAGCCTCCAGGTGCGAACGTACTTTGAAGACAATGTCCGATGCCCTTCAAGCCAGGACTCAGTTTGTTCAAGAACACCGGCTTTTGTCAACCACTCAAGCTCAAAGGAATCTGCTGCAGCATCAATGGCTTATTTTCCACGGAGCTTTGCTTTATTTCAAAAGTAAGATTCCAATCACAGTATTCCCAAACTATATGGGAAAATCAAAGTATATAAAGAATAAGAAAATTGCTCAAGCAGATGTGGCGCTTTTTCCTTCCGGCAAAGCCGAAGGGGGAAGTCGTGACATCCCCGCACCGATCGATGGCGAACACGAGGATCGCCAACGAACACCCCGGGAGTGGAGGGAGGGACAAAATTTCCGGCCCTTTGGCCAGGGAGCAGCTACCCACCCATCCCACCCCTGTCTCGAGGCGGCGCGGGAAATAAAAGAGATGAACTCAGACGATTCAAAGCATGCATTCATGCCATGAAATGTAGTTCAAAATAAAGCAAAGGCGTTTTGAAAACTTCGCAGTAATTTTCAAAAGGAAAATAAAGCTAGTAGAGGCAAGCCAAGCAAGGACCAGCAGGACGCAGAGCAACTCCACTAGATTCCCCTGGTGCATGGCCGAAGACGACTGCTTCGGGAGTCGAATAAAGTAGATACCCGCCTGGTGGGAGCCGTCAGCATGGATTGCGGGTATCTGACGGCTGTGATCAGCAGATAGAGGTCGGCCAGCAGCCTGGTGGAGGCCACCAGGGCCAAGTTTAGACAGACTCCATTGATGGAGGCGAGGCCTTCAGCTTGCATTGCGGTGTTGGCCGGCGCAAGGATTGCGCCGACTGCCGACAGACGGTTGAGATAGCACAGGATCGCTTCACTGTGGGATGAAGACTGGTGGAGGAAATCAACCGCAATGGCTGCTGGCGTGAGGCGGCCGGGGTGAGGGCACACTCGATCGCCGACCTTGGTGATGCCGGAATAAGGAATGAAGTATTTCAGCCCTTGTGGTGTCACCCGGCATCCGCGGAGGTCCTGAAGATCCGAGTCAAGGCCAACGTCCGCCTCCCCCTCAACTCCAAAGAGGCATTCCGACAGCTTCCGACAGACTGTGAGGCTGGTGCCTGGCGGTGGCTGGCCATTGTGCCGGTGTCCCAGGCTGGACCACCGGACAGTGTGAAGTGGGCCCTGCGGAGTAGACTGCACCAACCCACGCAGTGCCGCGGCGAGCCGACCCGGCGCAACCGGCTGGGAGGGAAGCTGAGCGACTCCCCTAATGCCAACAGGCTTGGCGATGAGGCGGCCTAACGTGCGTACTTGAACTTCACCTTTGCCGCCTCCAGCGGGCTGTCGCGGATCGCCAGTGCGGATGACAAGCTGGCCCTCTGCATTGGCAAGGATGGCAGCCGAAGCCGGCTGACCCTCCTGCTGACCCTCATCAATCACGATAACATGTGCACCGCTAAGAAAGGTCTTAACCTCGCGATAGGAGGTATACCGTAGCTGCAGTGCGGCTGAACCCTGCGTAAGCAGCAGCATGTAAGCACTCCGGACCGAAGGGGAGGCAAGGCGTCCTTCGCGTCCCGCAACACCTGGCTGGGCCGTGGCAATGTCCCCGAGCCCTGCCGCCTGATGCTCAGCTGCCTCAGTTGTAAAACTTACAAACCCTGAACAACCCGTCAAGGTCTGCACAGACTTTTGCTCGCGCAACAAACGAAGTGTTCAGCTGTTCTTGCACTGCACTGCTGTCACCTAAAGCTTTGCTTTAAGCTTTGCTTTAATGAGCCTCAGAACGTGTTTCATCATCGGCCCATTCTTTCAACGAGCTTCAGTCTCAAAGCTTTCCAGCCTTGAGCCACACATAAGCGCGGCACTCCGGATTCACATGTGCTTCAGCACATGTCAAAACAAAACTTCGCTTCAAAAGCATGCCGTCACAGCTTCCTACAAGCTCCACGCTGGCAAACAAACTTGCACACACTACAGCTGTTCGAGAAGGTACCTTGAGGCCTTCGAGAACTCATGCGGACTCTAATCAAACTAACGGCTCACAGCATTCACTCAGCTCACTCAAAAGCTCAAGCAACTCATGCCACATGTCGAAAACTGTTCTCGCAGCTGAAAACCAAGGTTCCATGCCATGAAAACCGCAGCTCCCAGTGAAAATCTTCCAGTGCTTTGAGAAAACCTCTGCAAAACCAAAACCATGCAGAATATATCCAGATAACCATTGCACCTCAGAAAATTCCAGGAATCGCAGGAAAATTGGCTTGCACTCCAAACTGCAGTCAGCAGCCTGATGATATACATATCGCAGCCCAGCACACTGAGCGGCTCCACCACTCAACAGGCAGCTCAGAGGTACAACTTTTCTTCGCCAGGCTGCAAGCCGTCGTAGACGAGTCCGGAAGATGAATTCACATGCAAGTGAGAAGAACCTCAGCCACTTTGGGCAAGGGCGGCCCTACGTCCTAGACTACAGGTGGCTAGTTACACCCGCCGACCTCAGTCGTTTTCAGACGAGGGGTAGGCCCTACCAAAGAGAGCTGAGGGATGCTTAGGGCACTCCCAAGCACCGCTGCAGGGTCGAACCTCAGCCAAAAGGCGAGGAAGGAGCCAGAGGTGTGCCTGAGGAGACGAGTGCCGAAGCTCTGCCTACGGCACAGGAGGCTGGGCAGCCTTTGACGCTGCCAGCTCACGCCTTCGCTTGGCCACATAGGCCGTGGTGAGGCGGACGTGCCTAGCCGTCATGGCATGGGCCTCCATCAGTTGTTGATTGGGGGTTGTGACCCCGCATGCAAAACAGCGGAGGAAGTTCTCGCTGAAGACCTGCACGTGGGCCGGCTCCTCACGTGCCTCAGCTGGAGCCGGACCTCTAGCCGGCCGGCGAGGAGAAGGGCTTGGAGAGTCCGTAGCTTCGTCACATGAGACCCCTGAGGGGTTGGGGAAGCTAGGGCTGGCCCCCCTCTGCTCGGCAACAGATGCGAGGCCTTCGAGACCTGGCTCTGCAGGGTCCGGCGGGGCCGTGGAAAGACCCGAAACCTCAGCCAAGGAGGCGAGGGTCTCAAGGGGACCACTTCCAGCTGTCGAGACAGCGCTAGGGGTTGCAGCTGCCGAAGCAGCGGTGACGATTGTGGTTAGCCGGGCCACGGGGTGTGGAAAGGGCAGGCTCACCCTTCCTTGACGAAGTGCCAGGAGAGAGGCCGGGCGGTAGCCTGTGGCTCGTGGCCCACTGAAGCAGAGGCTGAGGGCTTGACCCCAGGGGTCTCCGAAGAGCCGGTGGCTTTGGAGGCAGGGGTGCCCTGTTCAGGGAGGCCTGGGAGCGGAGCCTTTGCTGGGGCCGAGGAGGCAGGACCCACGTCCGGCTGCCGAAGAGGGGCCGAGGGGGAAGCGACCTCAGCCAGGCGAGGAAAGGCTCTTAGGACCTGCCTGAGGGCGGGCCTCAGCAGGCGGAGCGGGCCGAGAGCCGGCCGGGGCTGAGGAAGCAACTCCTGCAGTGACTGGGTGCTCCACCGGTGCGGGAGGCCCACGGTTGCGGGGGTGAAAGCTCATCGGAGGACCGGTTGGTTCCGGGAGCGGGGAAGACCCACGTGTGGCCAGGGAAGCAGCACAGGGGAGGGAAACCTCAGCCGGAGGCGAGGAGGTTGCTGGGGGAAGCTCAGGTGCCACCACTCGTTGGGGAACCTCAGCCACCAGAGGCGAGGGCGGCACCGCGAGATGCGGGCTGTCGTGAGCCGCGATCTCATGCTCGTCCACGAGCAACCATCGAACTCCTGGCTGGAGTTGCGATCCTACGGCCCGGTGGGTTCCGAGGAACCCACCGTCCGGCCATATTCTCGCGCTGCGGCAGGTGAAACCTGTCAGTCGAGGTACAACTTTTCGGCGCCGAGCTGCAAGCCGTCGTAGACGAGTTCGAAGGATGAATTCACATGCAAGTGAGAAGAACCTCAGCCACTTTGGGCAAGGGCGGCCCTACGTCCTGGACTACAGGTGGCTAGTTACACCCGCCAACCTCAGTCGTTTTCAGACGAGGGGTAGGCCCTACCAAAGTCTGTACAGGCGGGGTTCTACCGGAGCCCGGGCAAGCTGCCTCAGAAGCAGACCTCAGCCGAACAGGCGAGGAAAGGACCAAGGGATGCCCGGGACACTCCCAAGCACCGTGAGGGTCGAACCTCAGCCGAAAGGCGAGGAAGGAGCCTGAGGTGTGCCTGAGGAGACGAGTGCCAAGGCTCGGGGCCTACGGCACAGGAGGCTGGGCAGCCTGGGCCGCTGCCAGCTCTCGCCTTCGCTTGGCCACATAGGCCGTGGTAAGGCGGACGTGCCTGGAGGTCATTGCATGGGCTTCCATCAGTTGTTGATTGGAAGTAGTGACGCCGCATGCAAAACAGCGGAGGAAGTTCTCGCTGAAGACCTGCACGTGAGCCGGCTCTTGACGAGCCTCAGCTGGAGCCGGACCTCTAGCCGGCCGGCGAGGAGACGAGCTTGGAGAGTCCGTAGCTTCGTCGCCCGAGAATCTAGAGGGGTTCGGGAAGCTAGGGCTGGCCCCCCTCTGCTCGGCAACCGCTGCGAGGCCAGCGAGACCTGGCTCTGCAGGGTCCGGCGGGGCCGTGGAGAGACCCGAAACCTCAGCCAAGGAGGCGAGGGTCTCAAGGGGACCGCCAGGAGTTGTAGTTGTCGAAGCAGCGGTGGAGATTGTGGCCCCTTTACCCGGGCCACGGGGTGTGGAAGGGGCAGGCTCTCCCTTCTTTGACAAGGTGCCAGGAGGGCCTGAGGGAGGCCAGGCGGTAGCCTTTGGCTCGTGGCCCACTGAAACAGAGGCTGCTACCTCAGCCAGAGGCGAGGGCTTGACCTGTGGGGTCTCCAAAGGGCCGGTGGCCTTGGAGGCAGGGGTGCCCTGTTGAGGGAGGCCTGGGAGCGGAGCCTTAGCAAGGGCCGAGGAGGCGGAACCCACGTCAGCCGGAGGAGGGGCCGGGGAAGGGGAAGCGACCTCAGCCGAAGGCGAGGAAAGGCTCTTAGGACCTGTCGGGGGACAGGCCTCAGCCGCCGGGGCGGGCCGGGAGCCGGCCGGGGCTGAGGAGGCAACTCCTGCAGTGACTGAGTGCTCCACCGGTGCGGGAGGCCCACGGTTACGGGGGTGAAAGCTCATCGGAGGACCAGTTGGTTCCGAGAGCGGGGAAGACCCACGTGTGGCCAGGGAAGCAGCACAGGGGAGGGAAACCTCAGCCGGAGGCGAGGTACAACTTTTCACACCCCCTTTCGATGTGTGTATCATCTCTCATCCTTGCTGCTGTCCAAAACAAGCACTTCTCGACACCAAGCACACATTGAAACATTGCCAACCATGTAGCCACGCTGCAACCCACGCGAAGCGACGAAGATACAGGTATTGGAAAATCTCGCGCCAGATAGCCAGCTCTTCTCTCATGCCAGAAAGGATATCACCCAAAGCGAAGCCCAACGGACTTCTAACAGTGAATATACACATAGGCATCCTTGAGAATACCAGCTCTCACCGCTCATACATGTACCCATGCTCCCAAATTGATAAAGAACTCTTCCGCAATCCAGCAAGGATTTCACTCCTCCGCCAGTTTGCGCTGGAATCCCTTCTGCTTTGAAAAACCAATCCTCATCAAATACCCCGCAAGGTCCGAGGCTTGACTGGATGGGGTCGTCGGATCGTAACTGCGACCAAATTTCTCCTTGACCCAATTGAGATAGCTTGCAAGGTCGCTATCCTCCTTGGATAGCTTGACCAAGACCGCATAGGACTTCTTAAACCAAGTCTTATTCTTCTGGACCTTTGGCAGATCGCAGATTGTTCGACCCCAATCCTCCACGGAGAGATCACTCGGAAGTGGCACCGAGGTGACCTCAGTACCCGCATAGCTCACGACAATCACATTGTCACTCTCCCCAAACTCTTCCCCCTCGAAGGCATCGACGAGGTCTTCATAACACTTGGGCGTGCTCACGACACCCTTTGCGCTTCCCTTTGAAATCGGCAGCTGGGCACCGCAAGCAGAACCTGATGCAGTAGACCCATCCTCTGGATATCCACCCACATCTCTGAGACGCTTGGTCCCATCGGTCATAGAAGTATTGGCAGTCGAAGCCAAGCCATCTGCAGAATCCATCTTATCCAGCAAACGGCGCAGCTCCCTGCGCTCATCGGTCGTGAGAACCATGGCAGCACGAGTTCGCACCTAGGTTTCACACGCAAAACAACTAGCACCAGTACGGAGCTTTGTCTGCAGACCTCAACGTCCGCAAAGAAACCGGCGTCAAGAGGAGAATCCGAACCCAGCCAACAGCCCGGCCCAAACCCCCCAAAAAGCATCACTGCAACGTTTTGATCGCACCTCGAACAATCGCATCAGCGAGTTTCGGAGTGTAAAAACCTGTTTCGGTCCACCCAACCTGCCACAGATTTGCATGCTTAGCACACCTGCAGCTGGAAAAACACTTCAGGGCAGACACAAACTTTTCAGAAGTCGAAGTAAAACCCAAGACTTTGCCTATAGGCTCACCCCCTTTCGAACAAAGACCAGTCATGCACAACCTCACCGGCACATCGAACGTGTGGCCTGCCTTCTTCAGCACCTTCTGGCACAAGTCATGTTGCCAAATCTCATTGTTCCATGGCAGCTCAAAGCTCGAGTGCTTCCCAAGCTTCAAGTACTTCAACACACAAGGAAACACCTCAAACCATTCCCAATCCGACTTCGACGAGCTCCCGCCAGAGAACCGACGCAAGTAAGATCCAGAAGAGCAAGGCGTGGACACATGCACAAACACGCAGTCACACGCAAAGTTCAGAAGATATCGACGCACCTCTTTGAACACGCTGTCACTCTGCATGTTCTCAGTCACGCCAACGTAACTCATCCCGACTCTGCGACATGCACCTTGAACACTCGACTGCGGTCGACAGCACACTTCAACCATCACCAATCTCTTCTCATGATTGCACAAAGACGCAAGTGGTCCCGACAGCGACTCAAAGCCCAACGCTTCGCGATGTATCCCGAAAGCCGAGGACCCCAAACATTTAGTCAAGAGGTCTGACGGATTTTCGATTCCCTTCTTAAACGCAAGGACCAAAGAACCCGCTGCGACACGAGCTTTAAGCCACTCGACTCTTATCTCAAGATGTCTGCTTTGCCTGGGTGTGTCCAAATTGCGAAGAAGCTTCAAAGCGCTTTCTGAGTCACTGTAAAGTACCCCAGGCAATTCAACTTCCTCGCTTTCTCGAAACGACATGAAGACCCTTGCCATGAACTTTCCAAGACTCGACATTTCTTGAGCAACCGACTGCAACGCAAACAGCTCTGACTCCATAGACGACAGCGACACAAGCTGTTGGTGACGACACAAAGTCTTTATCACGCAGCCATCAAGTGTCAACACTCCTCCACTGATTCCACGGCGCTTCGTGCACCTCAAAGGCGCATGCGATGCGTCAGAGAAACACACAAGGTGCCTCTTTCCTTGGTAGTGTTGAGAGGGAGCCAACACATCACTCGCAGCAGGCAACCGCACAACCACGCACATGTCGTTCTTCAGAAATCGAAGCAAGGCTCGGAGACCATGCTCAGTATGATTCGTGGGTGTGGCTTGCTGCGTTGCCAAGATTGACACATAAGCACGCAAGTCCTGACGAGTCTGCGTCATCCAAGCTACTTTCCCCAACGCAGACCTGAACCTGGCATACGCCTCAGGAGACAATGGAACCCCATCTAGCTTCTCAACATGAACCGCTACATCTGGGGGACTTGAGGAACCTTTTCCCGAAAGACCATAAGCCTTGAAGGTCTCATCCAAATAATCTTCTGGCAAAGACACTGTGATAGAGGACTCCCCCTTTCTCCTGGAGATAACCCTACCAATGAACCGCAAAGTGCCACCGCCATCCTTGGAAGAATTGATCAACCCAGTTCTCTTGAGTTCAACTTTCTCCTCAATCACTCCAAAGATGTGATCTACATCCTCCTTTGTTGGCGCAATGCACAGAAAATCATCCACATAGACCAACAGCAAACAGGGACCTGACTCAAGCATGCCTGAAAACAGACACGGCTCTAAGCTGCAACTTTGAAGCCCCAAAACCTTCACAGTCTCCCCTACGAAGTAAATCCATTCTTGCGAAGCCTTGCGTAGCCCATTGAGGGCTTTGTTGAGGTGAAGATACAAAGGATCCCCCGAAACCGAAGACACTGACAGAGGAAACCTCATAACCACATCCCTTTCCCTCAAAGGCGTAGCCATGAAAGCGTGAGATACATCAGCGCTCGCAATCACGCAATCTCTGCAACCTGCAACCCCAAGAACCGTGAACAAAGCATCGGCACTAGGAGTAGGACTTGAAATGCCCAAAGCCCTTGCAGACTCTGAGTTCTTGCCAGCAATATCCTTGATGACAATCCTAGCTCGCACAGTAGTTGGTGTTTTCTGCGTCGTGACCCAACGACTAGGGATGACCTTCAAGGTACCTGGGAACCTCTTCTCAAGACTCTGAAGTTCTGAAGCAGTCAACAGATCCCCAGTTTCCATGTGACTCAAATTGTTGACTTCTTTGACCATGCCTTCCATGACCTGATCTCCTGAAAGCTCACCCAAGGTAGAGTCATCAACAGCGGAACTAGGCTTCCAAAGTCTCAAATGCGACCTTTTCCCAAACGGCAAAACAACACTCGTAGAGTTCGGGGCGAACTGAACCGAATCCACAAGCCCTGAAAGCAAAGGGACATAATTGGAAACCTGGAACGCCTGCTCAACAAAACTCGCAAGAGGCATGTGAACATCATTCCCTGTTTCGCAATTGTGGAAGGTAACCATAACTGAAGCAACCCTTTCTTGGTCCTGCCTGATCTCACGCTCCAGATCTTCCAACGGGACTTCAGAGGAGCGTTTCACAGCACTGCTTCCACGAAGCACTTCTTCAGCCTCTAGGCTGCCTCCGCCTTCACTTCCAGTCAACACTGGATCGGCAAACGGCATCTCAGTGTCCTCATCAAGAGCCCCAATGCCCTCAGACTCAGGAGCAGCAGCTCCTTCAAGATTTTCAGGCAGACGCCTGGATGAAGCTTCGTCATCATCGGGCTCCCCAGAAACAGAAAATCTAACACTCAGATGTTGGTTCCTTCGCTTGCAATCAGCATTGTGACGAATGCCAGGAGCATTCATGCCAGACTCGCACGCAGGACAACCACGCGTGAAAACACGACCACTAGGGGCCGCCTCGCTCACAATCCTCGCTGGAGCCTCAGACGAAGCAGCGTCCCCACTGGCCGGGGGAGGCAAAGGAGAACCCTGAGCCTCCTCCACAGCTCGGTCTTGCCTCGACTCATCCTCGGCTAGCTCAGAAAGAGCTTCACGCATAGCCTCTGCATCCGAAGCCACAGGCACTTCAACGTCCATGCTGTCATCTGTTGCAACTTGCGACCGCAACCACGCTTCATATCTCAAACAGCAAGCCCGACCGTGAGAAGAGCCCTTCCTAGACCCAAATTGTGCCATGTTAGAACACGCTCGGCACTCACCTGAGAACCCATACCTCTCAAAAAACTCCTTTGGCGGACCGGAAACAGGACACTTCAAAGAGGCACCCTGGGAACTCGGAAGAATCCGAGGCGCAACTGGATGATCTGGCCTCTCAGGCCCAAGCTCACCACGACGACGCAAAACTTCAAACATCCCCGACTCGAAGACAAGCTCAATCGGAAACACAAGCTTGATCGACTTGGCAACAAACACCTTTGGCGTCAAGACCTGGCCCACACGCACATGCGCATACACCAAGCTCCCAAGCGACCCAAATTGCGGATGAAGAAACGCTGCCGCCTCAAAACGCGACATATTCGGGCACAAAGCCTTCACAGACTCAGGGACCTCAGCAAGCACCTTGGACCCAAACAACGCAAAAGGGGTATCTGGCAACCTTCGACCAACTGCAACCTCCTTTGGAGAGCGTTCACCGCCAAAAGCTTTGCCATTCGCATTCACACTCATGCACAGGTAAGAAAGTGCAAGCTGCAGCAAGTCTCTCCGAAACGACAAAACGCAACCAAGCGACTGAAAATCACTTTGCAAGGTAGCTAGCCCTTCTTTAAGGACCCGGACTGTCCTTTCCGCACCACCAAGCTGTTCATGAGCCTGTGGCGCAGCCTTGCGCACCATAAAAATGTACTTATCCGACGCACCTGCAACAAACGACTTCACCGCTTCTTCGGAATCTGTCAAAAGCACAATGCTTGCTTGTGAGGACGACATCCCAAACTCAGCAAGCCACTTCAAAAGAAGACCTCTGTCTTTTGCAATGTTCTCAGTTATCATCACAGCCCCAATAGAAGAAGAAAAGGCCTCACGAAGGACGAGGACCTTGAAAGAGCTACTTGTCTGGCGCTCAGCCACGCTGATCATCTCTCCAGAAGAGTCCAGAAACATAAAATCTGCAACAATCTCTGTTTCAACTCCGCGCTCAGACTTTCGCCTGTGTTGGGTAACACCTCGGGACTTCAGACAATGTTCGCAATCGGGATGGAAGGGCATGTGGCCCTTTGCTCTGTGAATTTCAAGATCTTCCTTGGTCTTCTGCGAAACAACTGCAACATGTCCAATCGAGGAAATTGGAGCAGGATCAACTGAGTCACCCGACGGCAACAAGAGATCACCCTCTGAATGAGGAATCACGCGGATCCAAGGCGTGTCACACCAAATACAGGTATCAATCATATCAACACCCGACTTCACATGACACACAGAAACGCCTTCATCCAAGACAACACGCCAGCCATGCCTTCCGAGAGTTCGCGTTGACAGGATATTGTAAGGAGTGTCACCCACCATCACAGGGATCTTACAGACACCATTCTTGGTAGCTCCACTTGAATCCTTTGTTCGAACCTTTAGCACAACATGGCAACGACCATCAAAGGGAACAGGAGTCCCATTCGCAGCCATAAACGTCGAACCACATGCAGTCAACTCATCATGCGGAAGCGTCTTCAAAGTCACGTGGTTGATAACACAGCATGACGCACCTGAGTCAAGCAGCCAAAACTCAGTTCCAAGCGATTGACCCAACGACTGCAACAACGGTTGACACAACTGCTCTTGGAGCACAACAGACAACGACTCGCTGTCTTCAAGGACAGCTTCAAAACGCGTATTGGGCTCATCAGTTAACTCAATGACACAAGATAACACAAGAGTGGAGTCCAACTGCTGTGCTTCTTGCTCATCACCTTCCTCGGTGTAAAAAGATTCATCAGCATCTGTGTACCACCAAACCCCCGTTTCCTCATCAAACAGAGCAAACATTTTTCCTTTCTTTCCTCCTTTTCCTTTGCTCTTGCCTTTAGGCGAAAAAGAAACTTGACCCTTGGCCGCAGCAGCACCTTTGCCATCAGAACCCTTAGGCCTCGCACTCGACTGAGAAACATCACCCTGCTTGCCCTTGGCACAGTTCAAAGATATGTGGCCCATCTCTCCGCACTTGAAGCACTTAACCTTGGAAAGGTCTGCCGTGCACTGATTCACTTGATGCCCCTTCTTGCCACAACGGTTGCACTTCACACCGCTCCCAGCATCAGAAGGCCTAGCACTCATGCCAAAGACGTGACCATCCATTCCCTCACCTGCCTCAGGCGAACCTGCGCTCTCAGAAAACTCGGTTTCATGCAAGCCAAACAAACCTTTGGCCCCTTGCAACTCAAGAAACAAACGCTGCTGATGTTCCCATCGCAAAGCTGAAGATCGATATGAGGCATATGTCTCACCTTGCGAATGATGTAACGTATACGCTTTCGCGCTCTCAGGCAAAGACCTCATCAAAAGCGTAAGCTGATCACTGTCAGTCAAAGGAAACCCAGCAGCATCTCTAGGATCTAGCGTCGAAAGTAAACGCACAAACCTTGCCACTGCCACCTCAATCTGACGCACTGTGTCAGCAACTGGAGCTGACGAGTCCTGCGCTCGAAACGTTCTTGCCATCAGCATCGCCCTGAGACTCATAGCCTCAGCACGGCTTCTCAGAGAAAACTCCTTGGCAAGCTGCCTCAGCAACTCAAAACCATTACCCATATACGAAAGAGAGTTTCCAAAAACATCTCCCTGCATGGCGACTGCAACAATGTCAAGCCCTTCTCCAAAACTTTGGATCATAAGAGTTATCCGCCCATGATCTGCAAACGCTGCCTTCAGCACACTAAACAAACGAACTCCTCGCGCTTGTTGACTCTTAGACAACGTGTTCCATGCAATCTGTGTAGGCCATCGCGCGGCCTGAGCGATCTCCTTCCCAAACTCAACACTTGCTTGGTTCGCCCATGCAACCAACTCGTGAATATAGGCATTCATGCCCAGCACTTCAGATTCACGCCCTTTCCACGCTTGATGATTTGGCGTAGGTGGAGACCCTAGCCACTTCTCACTGCGACTAAAGACGTCTTTGTCTTCACTGCTCCTCGCATTTTCAGCTGGAACACCAGGTAACGTGTTACCTTGATGTCTCACGAAAGCTGGCACATTCAAATCAGGTGGCGACTGCCCCAATCTCTCAGGAACAAACTGCCCACTCACAGGGACATTCAGTCTTTGGCTAAGATCTGCATACAAGGACTGCAACTCACGCGAACTCATGCGATCAAGCAGATGTCTCCCTGCACTCACATTATCTCCAGAAACCTGACTGCAACATCCTTGATTCGGAACTGTCGAAAGATTCCTCGCAGGACCTGAAGGCACTGACAAACCTGGAGCTGGCGCCACTGGCCTAATGCCAGCACACGCACTTGCAACTGAAGGCGTACCGCTCGAAGGTGGACATGGCATGCTAATATGAGACTCCATCGGTCCCATTCCAGCACGCATACGATTTCCGTACAACGCCCAGGGATCTCTCTGAACACCTGTAAACCACGGATCGCTTGACCCAACACCACTCACACCTTCCACACCTGTTTGCCTCCTTTCCTGTTGCCCACACCCAGCTGTACCACACCCATACTCCCCTCCAGCCTCAGCAAGACCTGGACTACACGGAGCTGGCGCCTCAGCACTTGGACCTAAGGCCTTTGAGACATAACACCTTCTTTGGGTCGGCGGAAATGGTGTGGGAGCACAAACAGTGCTCCGCTACCATGTAAAACTTACAAACCCTGAACAACCCGTCAAGGTCTGCACAGACTTTTGCTCGCGCAACAAACGAAGTGTTCAGCTGTTCTTGCACTGCACTGCTGTCACCTAAAGCTTTGCTTTAAGCTTTGCTTTAATGAGCCTCAGAACGTGTTTCATCATCGGCCCATTCTTTCAACGAGCTTCAGTCTCAAAGCTTTCCAGCCTTGAGCCACACATAAGCGCGGCACTCCGGATTCACATGTGCTTCAGCACATGTCAAAACAAAACTTCGCTTCAAAAGCATACCGTCACAGCTTCCCTACAAGCTCCACGCTGGCAAACAAACTCGCATACACTACAGCTGTTCGAGAAGGTACCTTGAGGCCTGCAACTCATGCCACATGTCGAAAACTGTTCTCGCAGCTGAAAACCAAGGTTCCATGCCATGAAAACCGCAGCTCCCAGTGAAAATCTTCCAGTGCTTTGAGAAAACCTCTGCAAAACCAAAACCATGCAGAATATATCCAGATACAGTTGCAAATCCGCTGGTTGTGGCATTTAAGGTGAGCGTGCAGCTGCTTTGGACAAGACTTCTGGCTTTTCAATCTTGCGTCTGCATGGTGCCCAAAACTGCGGGAACAAAGGCAGGCAGGCGCACGCCCGAGATCCAGCTGGTTCGCCCCGAACATTTGCGATTTGCGACCCCAAAAATGGGGCCGTTTCGCGGCCCCGAAAACAAGGCTGCGACATGCGCCCGGCCTCATTAAATAAATAGTTTGAGCATGAGTTGGAGGCTTGGAACCCCGACCCCAAAAATGGGGCCGCCAAACGGCCCCATTTTGGGGGGTCGCGAATTCTTCTACTTTGAGGCACGTCCGCCTGACTGCTACACAACAAGGCGACTGTGGCACACAGGCGCGCGTCCAGCTTGGAAAAAAACGCTTTCAGGATTAAGGCTTCCAAGCCTTGCTTTCTTATGGAAGTACATTAAATCATGAAAGAAACGGGCACAGTCCTGGAATTTTCTGAGGTGCAATGGTTACTCAGGAATCGCAGGAAAATTGCCTGTGACATTGATCCCAACCGAGTTGCACACCTTGGCTGTTCTCGTGGGACAGACATTTTGCCGCCACATCGATGAGCTCCTCAACAGTCCGGATGGACTTCTGTGCGGACACATCTCGGCTATCTTAGCTGCCCAGGCGCAGGGACGCAGCTCGCTCAGCATCCTGGGGTGCGCAAACTCTTCCAAAACTTTCTCCCTTTGGTGAGCCATGGTCTGCATGGATGCGGTATTGGAGCAAACAGTGTTTTGGACTGCTCAGCAAACTCAGCGCTCATCGCAGTTGTGCGCATAGTCTCTTACCTTCTTGCGGATGCCCCAGAATGGCTATGCCGCTCGTTGTGGTGCGGAGGGTCTCTGGCGACGCTGACCATGTACCCTTTCACTGATGTGAAAAAGTTGTACCTCTGAGCTGCCTGTTGTGTGGTGGAGCCGCTCAGTGTGCTGGGCTGCGATATGTATATCATCAGGCTGCTGACTGCAGTTTGGAGTGCAAGCCAACGCCAGTTCTTGCAGAAAGGGTCCCGCGGATTGTAGCGTTCCGCCACTGGCTGAAGGGCAAGGAATTCGGCCGGCTTCAGGTTTGGGGCAACTGGAAAAAGGAGCGCGGGCGACCGCCTCCACGGCTTGCAGGAACGACAGCACCAGATGCCTCTCAGCAGCAAAGTGACGCCGAGGCCTCGGCGCTGGCTTGGTGCAAGGCCGGCATGCGAATGGCCAGAGAGAGTCCTGTAAAAACTTGATTTCTCAGAATTTGAACGTCGCGTGGGGCCCGCACCTACAAAAATACATCTAGCGCACCTCCTTAGGATGAGCAAGAGGGTGGAGTTTAGGCGGTTATTGCGTCGCTTGGCCCTGCGCTGTTCGGGGGTCTTTCCTTTGAGCCTGTCAGGGACAACCAGCTCCACGGAACTCCAACCGCAGTGGAGAGCCCTATGCAAGAACCAGTCCGTGTTTTGCGGGGACGGGTTGCTCCAGGCCGGACGCAAAATCACTATTGTGAACATCAGAATGAACTAGGTGCCTTCGTGGATCTTTTCACCACCACTGTGTGCGCTGGCACCACCGGGGCCAGTGGACATCTGCATTGTCGACCGGGCGGGACGCTTTACTACACCCTCCAGCGGCTCACAGCAAGGAACACGCGGCCCACAGGCCCATTGATCATCGCCTCTCCCTGCCACTGGTGGGGCATCCATGCCCCTCAATCACACCCATGTCAAATGGCAGGTGCTGTACCGCACCTATGGCCTCGCCAAACTGGGGCTCCAAAGCCCCCCCGAGAGCGGATGGGGCGACGGCGCAGGAGTTCCATAAACAATGGTGCGTGAACCGTGTTTTGTCGCTTTGCGATGCTGCAACCATTGCTGCACACAGCGGTCTGGACGGTTTCCCGGTCCAGCTCCACTACGGGGCGTGGACTTTGAGCACAGCGGACCAGATGGCCAGTCCATCACGGCTCGCCCGTTCTACCCGGTTATCGACACCGATCTCCCGGTTTTCGCACTGCTAGAGGAGACTTGGTCTCCACCGGCTGCGTGAGCACAAGGGAGTGGGCATGCCTCCCCCCAAAAAAGGCTATACTGTACAGTGCGTTCCGCTCTACACACCAAGGTCTTATTGGGACACACATGGTGTTCGAGCGGCCAGCGACCGGGTGTCGGGGGCAAGCTGGCCCCTCTGAGCCGCTGCCGCTGTGGCGGGGGCATTCTACCTTTATACCATTGCCTCGATACGATCAACACGACGTTGCTCGGGAGATTGCATGTTGCCGCCAGTGTCTATGACCCGGCAGGACAGGTCCGGCCGGACCCGGACACAGGTGCGCCTGCCAAAGAGGATCCAGGCAGCATGACACCCTCCGCCGCTATCTGTGAAAAGTTTGCTCCTTTTAGGTGTGCCCTTGAGTACCGACATGCTTGTTTTGCGCATAAGAAAGGGTTTCATCCTTTTTGCCTTGAACTGTTTTGTTTTGGAAGCTTGAACAGGCATTTGCATGGCGAACACATGTTTTAGCATGTTTGCACTTGTCTTGAAGACCATGATGAGCGCTTACAGCACTAGAGATGCTTTTGGGCATCCTTGAAGAAGTGCGTGTTGCTCTGACTGCACTGTTGCTGTTTTCCGCCGACCCTCGCTTCGCTCGTGCCGGTGGGAACAGGCCAAGGGACAGAGTGGCTGTGCACTGCTGTTTGAGTGAGTACAGAAGTCCTGAGAAGTGTTAGGACAGTTGCATGTCATTCCTCCTTTGTTTAGCAAAGTTGAGACGGAATTTGCTGCGCGAGACTCCGCAAGAGACCTTGCTGAACACTTCGGTGTTTGGCTCAAGCGTGGAGTGAAAAGAGAGTTTTTCACATGGTAGCGGAGCGCTGAGTGCGTTCCTAGTAAAGCCATGGCAGACGTTCCTGTGCCGGAGACCACTGCAGAAGAGGAGTTCGAGCTCTTTGGTCCAGGACCAGCGCCTGAAGGTGCTCAGCAGGAAGCAAATCCGTTTGCTCCTGTGCAAGGTCCGGCTCCTGCTCCTCCGCAAGCAGCACAGCCTTCTGTACCAGCGGCGGGTTCGCCATCTGGTGCGACTGTGCCTCCTGTGCAAAGTCCAAAGGCGTCGGCTCCACCTGTTCAGAGTCCGAAGGCTGCTGCTCCGAGTAGCAGCTCTGGTTCTGCAGGTTTTACGCCTGAGCAGATGCCTGGATTCATGATGGAATTGCTTCGTCAGCAGAGAGAGATGATGGCAATGAACCAGCAGCTCGTTGCGACGATGCTCCGGAGAATGGATCTGGAGGAAGAGAGAAGGAACAAAGCGGAAGAGAAAGTTCACGAGGCAGCTGAAGCGGCCAAGCAGGCAGCAGAGGCAGCTAAGACTCGGGACCCCTTCCAGCCGAGCACTGCTCCCGCGAGCAGTTCTGCCGCGAGTTCGGCAGTTTCTCCGGCAGTTCCGTCTCCCTCTGGGTACTCTGGTGCTGGAGGCCGTGCAGAGAAGTATCTGCCGAACCTTCCGGTGATAGACCATCAAGGCATGGGGAAAGGGCGCATGAAGGAGGTAGAGACTTGGCACTCCTTTATGGAGACGCTGAGTTCCTGGCTTGCCCTGCAGGAAGAAGCGTTTGTTCGGGAACTGCAGCTTTGTATCCCTGTGAAGAAGGAGATTGTGCAAGCTGACTTGAATCCCGAGACTGCCGCGCGTAGCTCAAAGCTGTTCTACTACTTGACGCAGTCCCTCGCCAAGTGGGAGCGGGGAAGCGAGCTCTTGAGGTCCTGCTCGAAGAGGCAGGGGCAGAGCGCCTGCGGCTACGAGGTGATTAGAACGATTACCTCTCAGTACTCCATCGTGTCGTGGATGGAAGCTGTCTTCGTGAGAGAACAGGCTTTGAAGTTGTACCAGCACGTTGGGCATCTGAAGAGGCCCACCGACTTGATTCGACATCTTGAGGATTCGTTTTCGAAGTCTGAAGCGAAGCTGAGCAACTTTCCGGAGCTTCAGCTGTCTGAGGCTGACCGCTGCTCTGTCCTGTTACAGAGCTTGGGTGCAGAAGTGCGTCAGTACGTGGTACTGCACGGGTCCAGCTCGAACTGGGAAGCTCTTCGAAGGACGCTGACTTACTACGAGGAGCAGCTGCGACTGTGTGAGGCCCCTGGGTCTTCGGGCCGAGCCTTGCAGGAGAAGCTTTGCGACTACTGCGGGAAGAAGGGACACACAGCCGACAAGTGTTGGCAGCGCCAAAAGGAAGAACGCGGTGGTGCTCCGAAGGGCAAAGGGAAAGGAGACAAAGGAAAGCCGAAAGGCAAAGGCGACCAGACTCCCAAGGGATCTGGCACGCCCCGTGGTTCCGAGAAGGGCAAGGGCGACAGGGGAAAAGGCGACAAAGGAAAGGACAAAGGCAAGAAGCAGAAGAAAAGTCCGAGGCCGAGTCGGGAGGAAGCGCCACAGTGATGGCGATGAGGTTTTCCTGTCCGGGGCGTGGTTCTTCGGAGCCCTCTTCTTCGGAACGCCGTGTTCTGAGCCAGCCTGAGAGACCTGAGCCGTCCGCCCTTGTAGTTCCGAAGCCGGGTTCAGGACCCGAAGGGTCGCCTGGGTCTGAGAGTCGAGGTTCTGAGTCTATGGGCTCCTTAGGATCCCGTGTGTTGAAGCACGGCGATGTAGCTCATGTCTGCAAGGCCCTCGAGACTACTCCTGGGGACTTGTGGCTCGTTGATAGTGGAGCCACCTGCCACATTGTTTCTGACAAACATCTCTCAGGATTTCGTGTTGTCAAGAAGTACGACCGAACGGCCAATCTGTTCAACGCCTCGGGTGGTGCGATCGTCGTTTCGGGGGTCGTCGACCTTGAGGTTCATTTTGGGGATGTTTTCCTGAGGTTGGAAGAGGTCTTGGTGGCGGATGTTGGGTTCAACGTTGTTTCGCCTTGGACCGGGTCGGAACGGGGCTGGAAAACCTATCTAGCCAAATCGGGATCACGATTGTACAAAGGAAACGGAAAGAAGAGCATCAAGCTGATGGGCGCTTCGCGCGCCTGGTGGGCTCTGAGCGGGAGGTCCAAGGGCCGGGGGAAAGAGAATTCTTCCAGACGCCCCCCGAAAGGGATCGAGGACATGGAGATAGATGCCTTGAAGGACCGCGACCTGCTAGGATCGAGCAAGGAGTCCACCGCAGGACCCCAGAAGCCTGGAGAAGGAATCCTGAAGAAAGGAAGAAAGACTTCGGAAGAAGACGAGTCTGGCCGCCACGCTTTGGCTGCCACTCCTTTTGGGTTTCTGCTTCGGGGTCTTAGGGCGGAAGTTGCTCCAAGAGCGCCTGCACCACGGGAAATTGAGCTTTGTGATTTTCTAGAAGAGTCTAGTGACTTTAGGCAGTGCACGGCGCTTGATTTTAGGAAACAGTTGCATGCTGGCATGTCGCTTGATTTTAGGAAACAGTCGCATGTTGGCATGGCTCTGGATTTTAGGAAACAGTCGCATGTTGGCATGGTGCTCTGCATGTTTTTGGCATGTTTTTCCATGGTTTTGCGATGGCATGTTGTCATGATGGACATGGTTGTGCAAGCGCATTGGGTTTTGGCTGCTGTGCTCAAGCGGGCTTTTACCCTTACTGTTTTTGCAGAACGACTCGGCATACGCCTCTTTTTCCTGCTATGGGAAACTATCTGGGCGGATCAAAGCAAGAATGCGAGCACCGGTGCGAGGTGTGCGGAAAGCAGGTCTGCGTCAGACACAAACCTGCTCACACCCATCATTATTGTTGGGCCTGCATTCAACATTGGTCTGGGTTGCAATGGCTACGTGCCCACGACGAAGTTCCAGATTCGAGCTATGCTGAGAGCGATGCAGATGGCAGCATTGCAGCTGGTTGGGTCTTGCTTGATGGAAAGTAGAGAAGACCGACCCTTCAGCCACCAGAGGGTAGAAAAAGGGTTGCGAAAGCAGCTGCCTGAGCTTAGGAAGCAGCGGCGTGAGCCTAGGAAGCAGATGCGTGAGCCTAGGAAACAGCTGCGTGAACCTAGGAAACAGTGGCATGTTGGCATGCTTGGCTTGATTTTGCAAACGCTGATGTTGCCGAATGTTTGCGCTAGCACTGCGCATGTTCCATCTGCAGCCGTTTTTCTCTTTGGTGAAGAGAGGTCTCCCTTTGGAGATCATAATGGACGGTGCCAGCGGGGACGAGTTTACCCCGAGTGTTGCTTTGAGCAGTCCGGGCTCCCCAGGGGACCCGCCTACACCGCCAGCTTTGGAGAGCCCCTCTTTCGAACTACCGGGGGTCGAGCCGCCGGGTGGGGGACCATCGTCGCCGGTGGCTGTCTACCCGTCGCCAGTGGTGACGGAAGCAGCGGAGAGCCCGTTGCTGGTGGATGCGGCTGGAAGCCCTGTGGAGGAGAATACTGCGAGGAGTCCGCCGAAGGCGGATATTGCAGAGAGCCCTTTGTTCTCAGAGAGCGAAGGGGAGGAGAGTTGGGGCCACAAGTGGCCGAATCCCTCGAAGCGCCTGCGCGCTGGGGTTCCTTCAGAGGTCGAGGGGCCTACGCCCCCTCGGGTTGGAATCCCGGCGAACATCTTGCCGGGCTCGCTGAGCCCTCCGTTTGGTGCTGTTCAGATGGATGTGGGAACCCAACTCCTCCTGAGAGCGTTGAGGCTGGAGGCTGGCCGCAGATGGGAGCATGCGGAAACACTAGGCCTTGCAAAGGTCTCGGTCGACTCTACCGAGCCTATTCCGTTGCTCTCGCACTTGGCGGGGATTCCAGCGAACATGAACGATGCCTACGATGCCCCATCCCTGGCGTTCTGTGCTCCAGGCCACGCCTTGAGAGCACTTTGCTCTCCGACGGCGACGATGCTCGGTCCGATAGGCCTGCCCGACCTAGAGCATCCAGCTGCTTGGCTACCAGCCACTCCAGTGATTCCGGTGACAGCGGCCTATCCAGAGGAACCATTGAGGGTTTCGAGGCCGAAGATGGTGGAATCGGAAGCACAATGTATCATTGGGCAGCAGGAATGGGAGGTTTGGTTGGGACGTTGCCTAGAGGGCAAGAGCCTAGCAGAGTACGGGCTTCATATGGAAGACGTGGGGTTCGCCGTCAGGGTTACCGAACTTCTGGAGGCTCCACGGGCCGCTCGGGCGGCGTGGAAACGAAGGTTCCAGGAACCCAACCCTGTATCTATGTTACACTATCTCTTCCATTGTCGAGCTGTATTGCAAACCTATTTGGCTACGCCTGCTGGATACAGGGGACTGGTGGGAGCGCGTTCGAGTCTGCTCGTAAAGGTGCCCCAGTCGGTCACCTCCCTCGAGCTCAAAACGGCTTGGGCATACCTAGACTCGGGCATATATCTCCGTGTTGCCCGATATTACAGGCGAAAACGGGAGGAGGAGCGCCTCCACGAGGCCCGGGAATCCATGCGAGCGGCAAGGGCCAAATCGGCAGCGATCCCTCAGGGCTCAACGATGGAGGGCGGTGTTGTGGACACCTCCTCTTCGAGCTCCGACGAGGAATCCTTGCTCCTTGGAGAAGGAGAAGTTACGGCGCTGAACAGGGCCCAGGGCCAAGAAGATTTATCCGACATCGCCATATGGCGAACGTTGGAAGAACTCACAGGCCAGAGGCTGTCCCAATTGGATGGCTTTGTTGGGGCCGACGAGGGAAATCAGCCCGCAGAGGCAGGACAGCCGGCACCGCCGAGCCCGGCTCCGTCCTCGGTGCCACCAGGAGAACTGGTGGCTACTGCATTCAACCTCCCGAGGGTTTCAGCGCCCACTCTTCCGGAGGGGATGCAGAGGGAGGACTATCAAAAGCACGGCGTGAACATCCCTCCGTCGGTTCCAAAAAGATCTCGCCTACCAACGCCTCCGAGAGCTATGAGTGCTTCTGCCACAGGACAGACTGCCCAGGAACGGGCATTTGTGCTCAGCCCGCCATCTTTAAGCCACAGTCAAGTGACTGCGCAGGCGAGGCAGGCCCTAGAAGAGGGCCAGAGGCTCTTGGAGTGACTCTGCGGCGATCCGCACCGAGGGGTTGGAGTTCAAAAGTTTTTTCTTGCGAGCACGCTTTGCAACAGCACGCTTTTCAGCAGCACACTTTGCAGCAGCACGTTTTGCAGCAGCATGTTGTGTGGCATGAGCGTTGGCATGGTTTGTGGCATGTTGCGTTTGCTCGAAAACCAACCCAAAGTAACTCGAACCCTCCTACCTTCGAAACCCGCACCTTTAAAACCACGGCCGCTTTCAGGAATGGTTTCACGCCAGGACTGGATCTTGGTATCATCGTGCTCCTCCTGACGGTCTACAGCCTCTTCTGTGGTATAGCTTTGTGGGTTTCTTCAGGGTTACTTCGGTGTTTCAGGAAAGTGGTTTCGCGAAAGAGGCCACGAAAGTTCTATAGGGTGTTTTCTAGAAAACGCGGAAGCTACTTTAGGATTAAGCTGCGGCCCGCGTCGAGGTGAGTAGGAAACTTCTTTTGAGTCGTGAGGTGAAAGGTTTTGGGCAGCGCGTTTGTGAGCATGTCTGTGAAAACTTAAAGTGCGCATGTTGCGGCATGTTTGGCATGCTTTGTGCCGGAGATGATGAACCGGCCCCGGCAAAGAAGACGGAACAAGTTGAGCACGTGCTTCGAGCCGTGCGCTTTAGAGGTTTACCGTCGCCGGGGACCGGTGCACGTTCTGATCCGTTTGACTTAGACCCCGAACCTTCCTCAAGACCTGCTCCCGCAACTTCCTCAAAACCTGAAGCTTCTAGTCGTAATCCTTTAGATCCTGAAGGAATCTTTGATCAGGACCCTGAACCATTAGGATCTGCCCCTGGCTCTTCCAAGAAACCTCGAAAAGAAAAGGGTCCAACACCACCTGACGACCCGGTTGGACCTGAGGACGAGGAGGACCTGAGGGTTCCTCTTTCTTCTGTTTCGTTGTATAATCATCGGAGCCGAGGGCATTTTCCGTTTGATTCCAATTGTGAAGCGTGTTGTTCTTCGAAAGGGCGCGTTCCGGCGCGTCGCTTGAGGAGGAAGCTGCAGAGAGAGAACCAGACCATCGGTCTATTTCGGAAAACTGAGGGTACTCTTGATGATGCACCTCGGTTCTAAGTATACTGTCTCTCTTCCTGCGATGCACCTCGATGACCCTGACCTGCTCCACAACATCAACCGTGTGATTCGCGAAATGGGATTAGTCGGTAAAGCGGTTACATTTCGGATGGACCAAGAAGCGGCTCTTGGAGCCCTTGCCGAGAAACTCACCAAGTGCGATAGCAGCCCTGCCAGCGCAACTTTGATTGACGTGGTTCCGGGGTATCGGCCCCAGTCGAAAGGATCGATTGAGAGGCAGGTTGAAACTATGAAGCAGGGTTTCTGGTCTGTTTGGATGGACCTGGAGAAAGAGGTTGCTAAGGTGAAGCAGGAAACGGAAGCCGTAATTGAGCTTGGGAAGTATCAGTTACCTTTGGGAGGTTTGCTTTGGCAAGCCTGTGTTTTCTATGTTGCTAGGTGCTATAACCTCTGGTGTACTAGCGTCGGGGATTCGAGCACTAGCATAGATCGACTGCATGAGGAGATTGTGAACCGAACTCGGACGAGACCGTTCGGGTGTCTGGTTCAAGCTCAGGTCAGTAAGTCCAAGGCGCACCATGAGAAGTTCAGGGGCGCCCGGACCGTGAAAGCGGTTTATCTGGGACCAGTGCACGCCAAAGGTGGCGGTATCTTTGCCGTCCCTGTCGGAAGCAGGGAAATAGATATATTCCCCGTCGCCAGAATGATTCAGGGAGGTGACATCTACGATGCCAAGATTTTGGAAGAGCTATCTTTAGCTAAGCCTCTTCTGCAGGACACTGAGGACCCCGAGAGGCCCATACTGTTTGATCCGTTAGAGGCTCCTGGTGATGATGCTCCTGATGAGGGGGCTGGTGTGGGAATGGATGAAGATGGTGATGAAGAGATGATTGAAGATGAGCTTGCTGACTATTCTCCGTCGGAAGCGCCTGAGAACCAGGAGGTTGTGAACAGTGAGGGGGATATGGAAATAGACTGGCTCACGAATCACTATCTTGAGTCCCGGTTTCGAGGACCTGACCTGCGAGCCACCTCCACTGCAGTTGCAAAGTCGTTTGATTTGAAGTTTGGGGGTACGAAGATAAGGTGTGCTGTTCCCCAGAACGCTGTGTCTGAGACTTCGGGAGAGAAGCTAGAACCCGATCTCCTTTACGCATCAATGAAGCTTGAGTTGGAAGAGTTGGAATCCTTCAAGGTTGGGGAAGTGATCCCTGAGCGCGAAGCTCGCCGTCTTGCTAAGGAAAACGGCAGGCGAGTTTTGACTAGCAGGTGGGTCAACACGGTCAAGAAGAAGGGACTGTATAGATCTAGGCTAGTCGTGCGGGATTATGCCTCTA